CGCCGATGTCCTGAAAGAGCGCGATACGGCGACTCCCTTGTGGCCACATACAGTGCTGCAACAACAACATCCCTCCATCCCAAAAAGCATTTTTAACATGGAGCAGTCTGCCATCATAAAAGAATAAAAACTGTTGATAGGACACCTGCCAGGTTTATTACCATTCTTTCTATTAGGAAATTTTAGTCCATGTAGGTTTCATATTTGAAAACTCTCCCAGAGTCTAGAAAAGTGAGTTTTGTTTTCCCAGTGTGAAGTCTATAGGCCAAGCGAGAGTGTGTGGGGGTGGCCAGTGCAGAAACACTATCGAGCATGTGCTGTGGGCCGCACAATAAAGAAGTAAACCTGGTGTAAATCCCAATTCCCTTATTTGATTGTTACCCGATCCCCGTCTCAAAGCTCCTGTTCCTGCTCTAAGGAGGAACCATGAGCATGGACACATGAGACCATCCTTCAGAGAAGTATTTTATGGTTTGACACCCCTCTATCCGAAATCATTTGGTGACTGGACGCTTCAGATCAAGTATCTGAGGAAAGGACATCTCATGTCAGTTAAAATGTCTTTCCTCAGTTCACAGTCCTGCACCTTATGTGGGAGGTACTAAGATGCAAGGAAAAGGTGCAAGTGAGGGAAACATAGATGCAGTTAGTGGAAGTGGGATTTACCATGGACCTTACATTGGTGATGTCTTGATGTACGTGGCATTTTTTGTGTGAGGACACTCCACCGTTGCACACTGGAAACCTCCGAAGGTGTTCACACACACCTGGTCTGCTGTGCAGTTGTGCATCTGGTTTTCACACTCGTCAATGTCTGAGCACAGAAGGAGAGAGTCACCACCACAGCGAGTCTGCACATCCCTAAACAATCCCATTAACTGGTAGGATGACCTCTGAACTCTGACCTGTGCAGCCGTGGCCATCTCTGGCAAGGTCATACCCGGCAGGACAGAAGCAGTGGAAGCTGCCTGGAGTGTTGACACACTGATGGACGCAGAGACGCCCGGGCTGGCTGAGAGGAAACACATGACACTCATCGATATCTGGAATGCAGACAGGACAGTCAGTGGTAGCAGCAGAAGATACACAAAACTCTTATTTGTATGAAAACACTCATCACCGGTGCAGACGTTGTTGTCACGGCCTGATATGGTGAAACCAATGTCACAGGTGCAGCGGGTGGAGCCCAGCAAGTGAGTACAGCGAGACGGTTGGACAGGGGAGGACGGGGAGGAAGACGTGGATGATGGAGGGGAGGGAGTAGACTGTGAAGACACTGATGAGGAGGATGAGGAAGAGTAGGGAACAGCAGGAGAGAAGGAGGCCAGGGAGGTGGCAGTGCCGTTGAAGCCTGAACAGGAAAACGGGAATCACAACTGTAGAGACAGACAAACAAACTGCAGTGTCAGCTGTTCCGACGTCTGACTTACGTCTGCAGATCGGCTGCTTGCCGCTCCACTTCAGGGACTCCAGACACACTTGAGTGCGTGGACCAATCAGCTCGTAGCCGGGCTTGCACAGGAAGTGCACCTCGTGTCCGACACCAAACACCCTGCCCAGTCTGCGGCCGTGGGTAGGAGGCTCTGGTTTGGGGCAGGACACTGACAAAAAGCAGATGTTAGTCAACCTGCTGAGATTTATTTTATACAAACAAATCAAAAAAAAATAAAATCCACACTGTAAAGGTTGGGTGAGAGGAAGCGTTGTGAGCCTCACAGCGGCACTACCTCAGCTACTGCAGGCCATGTTTGCCAACATGCTCAAGGTTGAGTCGGCCTGAACTTTGACCTCGTTTTTCACTGACCTTTTGATGTGCAGCCAACAGAGTAGCACCTGATCGAACAAGAAAGTGACCTGTACTCAGTGACAAACTTTCTTCTTCATAGAACTGTACAACACCACCTTCTTAATAATGCCTTGTTTATTATTTTGTCAAACTAGGGGTTTAATTTACTTTTCACATGTATTTCAAATGTGCCACCCTTCAAACTTTCTAGCTCCGCCCCTGTCAGGCAGGTCACTTACTGGTGACTAAATGCAGCACAAGTCAAGTTTAAGATGGCACATTTTTCATAAGTATGTTTGCTTATTGATACTGTTCTTATGCAAATGTTTTATTGAGTCACATTCCTTTTTCTTGTTTGCGTGTTCTCTTTCTTGTTCTCCCAGTCTCATCTTGTTTCCTTATGAAAGAGCATTGCACATGCACATGAAGAGCCAATTCCTTGCGTGTTAAACACACCTGGCCACTGAAGCTGGTTTGGCTTCTGCATCAGTTCTTACCTTTTCTTTGATTTGCTGACACAGGTCACTCACTCAGAGTTGTTAGAGCTGGTTTGGCTTCTGCATCAGTTCTTGCCTTACCTAAAAGTGTGAAGTGAAATTAGAGGAATAACCTTGAACACCTTCTCGGACTTGTATAAGGTTCATACCCAGTTAATCGTGGCTGACTCTGGCCACCCTTTGTCTAAAGAGTTTAGTCTGCTTCCATCTGGTCACCAATACAATCTGCCACTATGTTGGACTAATAGACATAAAAACTCTCCTGTCTCACTACTGAGGTGGAGATTGTACAGCTCCTCCTGTTGGGTGCAGGTGCTCACCGTTCTTGGAGGTCATGGTGCTGTTAGGCAGGGCGCTAATCTTCTTCCTGAGGGAGCGCAGACCCTCCTGGTACGATGCTTCATGGACGGCCAACATCTTCTCAACCTGTCGCAACGAGTTGAGCAGGTCGACAGTGGATGGACACTCCTATGGACGGGGTGAGAAGAGGTTAGTTGACAAACTTACATGAACATCTGGTGAAAGATCAGAGTCCAAAGGGAGGGGGAACTGCTAGCTGCACTAAGAGGGAACAAAATCACCTTCCACCAAGAATCTGGTTTACATGTTGTGTTGAGATAAATGTGCAAGACAGAGTAGTAAAATAATGAGCTGCTGATAAAAACTCTGTGGTGCTGACGGGGACTGCAGAGTTGGGCGATGATTATTAGTTATAGTTTGTCACATTGTTGTGCAGATAATTCCCCAGAGAAACGGACAGTCTCTCTTCATGCTCCTGTGTCTGATCAGTGACACCGGTTAGTGAAGCCTGTTCGCTCCCAGTTCTAACAGGAGTTTAACACTGATGCAGCACATCTGGCACATCTCCAGTGTCCGGGATGCTCCGAGGACAGAGCGAGACTTTCACACACGCTGATGTTACAAACATAAAAACCAGAGCGAGGCAGCAGCAAACAGCATGACAACATAAAAAAAAGCGACTCTGTTCTCTAATATTCTCTAACTCCATTTTGAATATTTATTTAACTGAACCCCTAATTTAAAGCAGGAAAACCTCAGAATTATAAAATGTGATGGGACAAGCAATAACGAGTTGGAGACAATATAAACACAAATCACAGCGAGATCAGAGTAAATAAAAAAAAATGCAACAGTAATATTATGAATAAAATTACTATGTAAAAGGTCACAACCTGAGTGTTCATCAGTTAGAATAAACAAAATCTATTATGATGTTATTACTAAATATTCAACTCCATATTTAATAAATAAAAACAAGAATAAGTAATGGTTGGTTTGCTCTAATAAAATAGCTTAAATGACATTTTTAAGTCTGCTGGCTTCACACTGACCCAACATTTGACCTCTTTAAAACCAAGCCGACCATACAGGCGGTGGCTCAGCAAGGGTCGCAGGCGTCGCTTCAGTCACCTGGGATATTTGTCCTTCTCACATTGTGTCACGGGAAGGATATTTGGAACATTTTTTGCTTTTCTTTTGCTTTGAATCATCTTGTGGCGACTTCAGTTTGCTGATCTTTCTAACCGTGGTATTACTTTGCCACAGTACTGTGTACTGTAAGTACAGTATACTGCTTTTAGGACTCAGTAAAACAAGTTCATAATGACCTTGGAGTTAATTTCCTCTCTCAGCAGTAAAACTCCGAGACCTGATTTCTAAGCTGCGCTCACCTGAGCAGAAGAAAACGCAACGTGACGAAGGCACAGCGTCAACACAATGACCCCACCGAGCATCATCCTGGATGCAGCCTCCATCCTCATCCTCCCGATGAAGCCTCTGCTCTGTGTCTGCAGCTCCTCCACTACTGCTCTAAAACCACCTCCTCTTCTGTTGCTTTTCGAGGGCACTTGCCAAATTTCTCCTCCACTCACTCAGTCACACCTCCACCCTCCCTCTCTGGCAGAGAGGAGGAGGAGGGCAGCTGCTCCCACATCTGGAACATACTTTCACTTTTTTGGATCCATCGGCATCCCCAGAAATAGATTCAGAAATTATAAGGAGAAGTCAGCTGCTGTGGTGTCCTGTAATCATCAGCGCACAGCAGCTCCGCTCTGGACCCGATGCAGATTCACCTCAGGATTCTAAAAAATAAAATACCCACTTTTTTGAAACCTCGAACCTGCCCGTGTTGCAGGATGATGTCTCGTGGCTGCTAAATGACAGGGCAGACATATCGATGGGCCCGCCTGGACCCCCCCTCAGCAGCTCCCCGACAGCTGCTGCAGGTCCAAACTGTAACGCGTGTAAACTCAAAGTCATAAATAAAGCATGGTAATGGCAGAGTATGAACATACACTATAATCTCCTGGAAGCAGCGTTATACATGGTTCCTTGAAAATCCTTAGAAGTTTGTGGACTTGAGAAAAGCAAAGAAAAAAGATCAGAGAACTGACTCCAGTAAACAAGACCTTGACTGTCATGGAAGACTCCTTGTTTTTGAAGTCCACTCAGTGTAAAACCCTGCTGTTAGTAAGGACACATGATAGAAAAATAAAAATTATGAGTAAGAAAAATATAGAAATATAGAAAAATACCTCTGAACGTTCGGTTAAGGTCAGAGTCAAGTTCTATAGACGCACCAGAGGAATGTAGCATGGACATGCTACACGGTTCACACGGCCCTTCAAAGACGGGGGCTGAGTACAGGAATATATTTCATGAAAGAGGAACATAACATGCTTGTATTGACAGATTATAAAGAAGCTATATTTTTGGTAAAAGTCAGGTCTACACCCCAGTGGGAATTGTATCAAACTATACCTCGAAAGCCATTAAAAAGTTCTTATATTTAGAATCAAGGAAAGGGCAGAAATCCCAAAAGCATTTAAAACAATCATTACAATCAGTTTTACTGCTTTTAAACAGCTCACACAAGCCTTCAAGGACCTTTTAAAATGTGTGTTTAGGCAAAAAGAGGTCAATTCAGGCTTAAAACATCTTGGTGTGACTGGCTGTTTCATGTGCTGTGATTCTTTTTAGTTTAGCCACATATAAACAGTGGGAGCACTGCTGCGGCTGATTCATGCCTAGATTTTCTGTTTCTCTTTTGCACCAGTGGAAGCACAGGAGACCTCATGATGCTAATCATTG